AAGTAAAAAAAAACCCTATACTCCATCGCTGTAGTGATTTCTTATGAACTGGGGCTTTGCAACTCCTTCAAGCGAGGAACATTCCTCTCCATGGCATCAGTAATCTTACACATGTTACCTGTCAAGAGTTGTCCAATGCCTTTCGTATTTTCATATGAATCATACCATAACAGCCAAAAAAGCTCCGAAAAACTTCAGCAACAAGTACTCGAGAGTCTTTTCGAAAAAAGGCTTTCTCGTAATCTCAGGCAGAACCCAGCACGAGGGTGGCAAATACCCACCCTACAATACCTCAATGGAGCACCCTTTCTTTTTCAAGAGGACCGCCGTCGTTGCTATTTCGGATCCTCACAGGGAGGAGAGCAGAGTTCTGAGACAGAAATGCTATCAACTGCAAACTTTAGGTGTAGAGCAGATTTACGTAGGATTTTTGAAGAATTAATGTGCAGGAGTTCTGCCTACTTCAGGTAGGCATTAGGTGGGCAAATACTCACCTGAAATGAGCAGAACTTCTGCAAATAAATTCTTCAAAAGTCCTGCATAACTATACGCTATTGATTCACATAAGTTTTTTCAAATGATTTTTCATACTTTGTTCTGACTCCCTATCGCGCATGTACGTACCAGATTTCAAGTCAAATCGTTACCTGTGAGTTTGAAGGAATTATAAATTCTTTTTTATTAATGGAAAACTCTGCTTGCCACAACCTTAGTCACATAATTTATCAACAACACTCTGCACTATTCCTTCTTGCCCTTGACCGTTTATACTCGAAATTCTTATTCAAATCGTCATGTACGCGCTGTGAACGAGGCAGTTAGTTACTGTTCAATGGGGGAAAAACCGCGGTTTTTGAAGGTGACTCGCAAGCACCGTGTTTTTGCATATCAGACGTATAGCAACTTGTCGAGAGAGAGTGTATGAACATGTAAACGTACGACAACCTCGTAATGTATACGACATCCAGTGAGGGGTTGTAGCTTCTCGATATAGATATCATCTACTAAAGTGCGGTTCATAATTATACGAACACCCCAATTTTTAGACGTTTCTGGATTTTTTGGAGGAAACTCAAAAAGCCTTTGGTACCACGCGAAAGAGCACAGCCGAAATCGGTATACGATCCAGAAGAATGGAAATCGATGTCAATCTTAGCAGTATTTTTTCCACTAATGCGAATTTTAGCGGTTCATAATTATACGAACACCTCAAACAAAGGCCCATTTTTCATTCAAGCTGCAATCTTTCGAGTCCAAATTTTTTGTAGAGTTACAGCAACGAAGTCTGACATATCTGGTACACCTTAACCCACTGCAGCTCAAAAAGAGGAGTGTTACTTTTTCCGTACGGCTGTAAATGCTTTTGGAGTCATTAAGATCCAAAAACGTCTGTTTTTCTGAGGTTTACGCAATTTAAATAGCTTCTATCAAGGCTATGAGATAAAATGAGCTATTTCGATAAATATTTTGTTTGACGCTTGGAAAATCTTTGCGTTTTCGTGCTTTTTCCGACCAAGTTCCAACCCTACCGCAGAGTTAGCACCATTTCGAGCCTCAAAACTCAGCTTCTGAAGGCCTACTATGAAGAAGCACATGGTATGTAGAAGTTCACAAGACCATGTATTTGGCTAGAAAAAAACAGCAACGTTGAGCATTTGTTTTGGCCACGCAGGTGTCATTTCACCAAAACCACTGTTTTTACTATTGCAATCACACCTTTATTTGGTGTTTAGCTCCATAACCTCAAGACTAGTAGCTCTGCAAAAAACCCAAAAACTTTGGCACGGTTACATCATTATGCAAACAATGTAGCTGCTTCATATTAAATGTTTGCGCGAGACAGAAGCTGAGTTTTGAGACTCGATAGTGCTAACTCTAGGTTAGGGTTGGAACTTGGTTGAAAAACGCCACGAAAACGAAAATACTTTCCAAGCGTCAAACAAAATAATTATCGAAATAGCTTATTTTATCTCATAGCCTTAGCAGAAGCTATTTAGAGTGCGTAAACCACAGAAAAACGGACGTTTTTGGAGCTTAATGACTCCAAAAGCATTTAAAGCTATACGGAAACAGTAACGCTCCCCTTCTTAGGCTGCAGTGGGTTCAGGTGTAGCAGACATGTCAAACTTCGTTGCTGTAACTCTACAAAAAATTTGGACTCGAAAGATTGCAGTCTTGAATGAAAAATGGGCCTTTGTTTGAGGTGTTCGTATAATCATGAACCGCAAAAAATTCTTAGTCGCAAAAACACTGCTAAGATTGACATCGATTTCCATTCTTTTAAATCGTATACCGTTATCGGCTGTGCTCTTTCGCGTGGTATCAAAAGCTTTTTGAGTTTCCTGCGAAAAATCCAGAAACCTCTAAAAGTTAGGGTGTTCGCATAATTATGAATCGCACTTTAGATGGCGTCCCCGGTCCCGCCCGAGCAGGGGGCTACTTGGTCCCAAACGCGTTGAGACGTACGATCCCTTCTCCATATCTGCGACGAAACTGTGATATGTCTTCCTTACTAACTGGAAACATTGGTTCCTTTTCGCCGAGAAATGTAAGTGAACTTTAGCGCTCGGCTTACATAACTGTGAGGAAATGATCCAAAAATGGTTGGTGAATTTTATTCCTTCGATGTAAGTAAGCAAATCAATAAATCGATCGAAGGGCCTAGCAAATGTCGCAAAAAGTAGCCTATCTAGTGCGACGTGCCTTGATTGTAGGGAAACGAAATCAGCCTCATCATCTCACACACAAATGAGTGTATACGCCACATATTTACTAACAAACAAAACTACAGATTTGATATTTATATAAAGATTCTCTATTCATTCTCTATCCTGCGCCGACCGTGAGCGTTGTTTTCAGGTTAGCTCTCAGTTTCTTCCTATACCACTCAAACTTTGATCTTTCGCTGTTTCCAACCTTATTTTTCTTTTTACATGTTGAACTCCTCGCTCAGTGCTTATTCGTGCCAGGTGTTAATTTGGTTTTTGGACCCTAAAATCCGATTTTCGTCCCGCCTAATTTGCATATCGATCGATAACCTTCCTTTCTCATACATCTCGCCTTGCCGCACTATTTCTATCGACATGCCTCCTAAATCTACAATACCTCCCAAATCTACAATCACGCATTACTCAAAAACCGGCTAATCCTATTCCTCAGCCAAAACAAGTCATGGATTCTAGTGCATCGCACTTATAATTCTAGTGCGTCGCAAATTCTCGCTTCGCTTTCGCCTCAGAGCACCTTAAATGATACCCGTACCGATTCAGTTGTTCAGTTATTCAAAAAACTTTTAGATCTACTTATCCCCGAGATACGAGAAATTACAAATGAGATTCTCGTGAGGCTTGGAGAGTTCGGCGAGACTGCGATCGAGGCAGATTGTAGATCAAGAAGCATTGTTATCGCAGGCCTCGCTGAACTTATGGGGACGGGCACACTGACCACCTGCTTCAGTGCGCTAGGAGGATACAGAAAAGAAAGTTCGTGAGGTTATGGACTTTCTTGATCTGGAGTGTCGGCCTGTTAAGATCTTTCGAATAGGGAGAAGAACGAGGTATGCCGCGCTTAGTAAAAGTAGAAATGCCATTGAGGAGTCACTGGGCCTCCGCTCTTTCCCGAGTCTGACTGCTTAAAAACTCCCCCTGTCATAAGTGGTCTGACGAAGCATGACGGCCGGGAAGGAGAAAGGGAGCGTGATTTGCGGGATCAGGCTAAACAGCTGAACCAGAATCGGAGCTTTGAAGAGAGGTGTTGTCGACAAGGGTGAACTGGCGCTTGCCAGTTCATTAACTAGCAACAATCTTGCTACTCTCAATCCGCAGTTGGCTCACACCGCCTTTCCTCTGCAGTGCAGGGAATCTGAAATGGCAAGGTGATTCCTTGCGATGTAATCTTTTCAGTCAGGTCTTTAGTAAACAAGTTACAACTGTTACACCATTTTTTGACTACTGAACTCCCGGTATTTTTTTCATCATGGAAACATGGTTGTCTTCAAAAATAAGTGATGCTGAAATGGTTTCTGGTCTCTTTGAACGTAGTTCCAGCCGAAACTTTAACTTTCACTATCCGCAGTACAGTTGTCGCAACCCACAGGGTGATGGTTTCAGGAGGAAGTTTCATGCACACGGAAGGAGGCTTCGGGAATAATGATAATAAATAATAATAATAATAATAATTTAGCTAATAATAATAATAACTCATTCTATAGCTTTCTGATTTGAAAATGTTTTCCACATATTGAAGAACTTTGGAAATTGCAAGAATTTCGTTGAAATGCCTGTAATCAACGCATTTCGTGATGTTCAGGGGTGTTTTAATTCACTAGCAATGCAGACCGTTATGTCGAGTAGAAGTCTTTTTGTACCGATATCACTTGGGAAAAATCGCAGCGGCGATCGTAAGGGAAAACAAAGTATTTACAACCAGCATGTTCAGTGACCTACTAGATCGGATGTCCCCCAAATCAAAGAATTTGGCTTTGGCTTTGTTCCTATCGTAGTTCTGCGAAAACACACCACCATGCAAAAGAGTGCGGATAAAATGTTGTTGATGATAAGGCTCTATATTTTTGCATTTTCCATTCGCGATTTCGTCACCTACGTTTTCAACACAAACGTTTACTGCTCATGCAAACAAAATCTTACTGCGTGCCTTATTTCGAGTCAATTTTATGAAAACAAACTTTCTGTTATTCGTACTCTCAGAAATGAATCTGCCAAAACAAACAGGCATAGACAGGCAAAACTATTCTCAAAAAGTCATAAACAGAATGCATGTGCAGTGAGGTTGAAAACAGAAGATCAGGAAAGAAACAGAAAGTACAAGGAGGAAATTGCCACTCTGGCTTGCTGCTGCGCGTCAACTTCAATGTCTCTCCCTTATTTCGACATCTCATTCGCCAGCTGAGTTTCATCACTTCTGGACGATCCTGTGCTGGTCCCGAAACGAAAGCATTTGAAGGAAAACAACTGACTAGTTCGACAACACTTGACATGCTCTCACATAATAGCGTTGATTTGATCAATATGCAAGCTCCTCCCCCTTCCACATAATCTATTCGTATTCAGACCGAAAAACCATGTAAGGCAGAGCAGCACATCATCGGAAGAAGAAGCTGCTAAGCCCGGGCCGTCACGCGTAGTAAATCCCATAGCCGTGAAACCATTAGCGGCAAAGACACCCACGCCAGAGGCCAAACGCGAACTGATGACGATTGGGCGTTTAGCAGTGGCTGTTAGTGGACTTGGACTTAGCGCTGCCGTTGCAGCCTCTTGCCTGAATTTGTTTTTGTTCTGATTGTTATGTTAGGCATTGAATTCAGTTCTGATAGATTCGTCATTGAATACTTACTTCACCTGGTGTCTGGGCACTGCGGCTTCACGATCGATGATGTTTGCGGCTTCGGACTGATTGATGCCATCGGTTCATTGCGTCTGTAAAGCGCATTGTGTTGCTTATAAGACTTATCTTATTCGTAGTTGCTTGGTTTATGCTTGACTCACGCCATTGCTGTCTGCTGCAACTGATTTCGCATTGTTTCCAGTCGACCCTGATCTGCTCAAAGTCCGCCCTTATTTGGGGGTTTTTAATCGCGGAAGTCGTCGGTACAGCGTTTTTAAGAAGTTCCTTGATCCTGGCCCGATCTACGAGGGCATTTCTCCCACTGAAATGCATCTTATTTGCAGCAGTATACTGCATTGAAGGCTAACTTAGGCGGTTTGAAACGCGTTATGCCAGGATAACGCGTCGATGCGGTGCGTGTAGTTAGTATGATACGTCGACATCGCTACTGAATTGGTGCATGAATTTGAATACGTTGATTTCCCGCTGTTCGACTTTTACGCTGAATCTCGCATGCGTAATTTGTCCCTTGGGATGTCGCAGGGTGTGAACCCTATTGCACATCATAATTATGCACTGTTTTGGAATGTTTATTCGACTTTAACAGTGAAGTAAAACTTCTGTTTTGTCTCATTGGATGTATTTCCTTTAGCCGATTAATCTGTTGTTCATAACCGCATTCGTTGTCCTGATTAAGGAACGGACTCTCTGGAATCGGTTCAGCCGTAGATAGGGACGTTGTTTCCGTAAAGCATCGCGGTTTCTGTGATTTCTCGTGTTCTCTGGACGGCCCTTGAAAAACCAAGGAAGGCTATTAATCTGTGCTGCATCGTACCGATATCCGCATCAGGTCTCCAAGGTGAACAGCCTCTAGTCGATAGACTAATGTAGGTAAGGGAAGTCGGCAAATTAGATCCGTAACTTCGGGAAAAGGATTGGCTCCAGTGACCGGGTCGGTTGGCCTGTTAACTGATGCTTGTGCGGTTTCGTCCGTGGCTGGCAGACGCTCACACTGAAGCTGGACTAGTGACAAGACTGCCTTGTGGACGTTTTCAGGTATGTGCTTTGTTGAATCGAATGTTAAATCGTAGTAATTCGAGTAAATGCGGGTAAACGGCGGGAGTAACTATGACTCTCTTAAGGTAGCCAAATGCCTCGTACCTGATTGATTCTGCCAAATTTATATGCTTAGTTGAAAAATTAAGTCATGCATGTCGAGTTTATCCTAAGAGGTTTGCAAATCTTACCGAATTGAAGGAAACTGGGCAATAATCATATAAATTATGATCAGAAGAGTAGAAAACAGACAGCGAAACCAAGAAATCTGGCCCTTGGCCTTCATATTCTAAAGATTTGCCTCCTTATCAAGCTCAGATCGGCAACGATCATAGCAAGTCAGTCTCTCTGTCCATTCAAATTGCTCCGCGAATAACGAGAGGTGTAAAGCGTCATGTATGCCTCCCCGAATGCTAGTATGGACGGGCATGCATGGCCAAATGGTGGAAACATGAAACTTAATCGTTCATATTTCAGATCAAGATGAGCGAGAATCGCTCAGTGAAGGGTAATGCTGGTGGGAAACGTTATACGTTCCGCGCGGACATGATAGAATGGCAGGTGAGACACAAAGGGTTTGTTTCTCTCTTCAAGAATAAGCCTATGATGTTGGCATTTCAGAAATGCCAGCGAGGTGCCGGTTCAGTGTGATTGGATCGAGCGAAGATCCTGAGAATTTTGAACGCAGTGCCGGCAGAGGATATAAGTCATGTCTCCACAATGGAGCGACTTAAGAGGGTAGAAGAGAAATTGGAAGTAGTTTCGTTGCTGAATTAAGTGGCTTCGTAGCAAATATTTGCTTTAGGCAGTAGAGTTGGAAAGGAGTCGTCCTACGTCAGTGGCGACGACCGAGAGGGCCCCGTCGGAAAGGGTTAATGAAATCATCATTGATTCGTCCGACGAAGACGAGTCAGAAGAGGGAAGAGACTTCCCCATGACTAGTAAGGCAAGTGCGCCACCCGCCGACACGCATCCAATGCCGCCGCCTGCAGTCACCCGCCCACATCCGAAGGAAGGCCAGGAGGCAACTAGTGGGGAGCCCGCTAAGAAAAAGAGGAAGCGCTCAAGCGCTGCAATGAATGTTTAATGAATGTTTAATAATGCCCCGAAAGATGCTCAGAGTCCCCTGAGTAGTACCAGCTGGCTGGACTATAGGAGAGGAAAAGAACTGAATAAAAGTCAGTGGATGACATCAAGAGAGATAGGAATAAGAAAGGGTAGAAAGCGGAACGAACTGCTGAGTAAAATTCTTGAAGGATCGCTATCAAAAGAGGGTATAAGTTAGGATAAGCTGAGGTATAGATACGCTGAAAGAAATCCCGAAAGATGGAAACAGGAAACCCAGATCCAGTCTGGGAAACTCAGGATACTTTGGTCTGAATATTTGCCTATATATATTGTACGTATAGTTATACAAACGAGTATATAATGGTAGTGATCTCTCTAGTTATGGACTAAGAAGAAATTTTGTTGTTCTCATAATCCTGTAATTTGTTTCCTTTGTGAATAATGTAATATATGTAGATAGCGTAGAAACATTGTATATAATGTAGCAAATAAATGAAGCAAATCTAAATCATTGTCGTCCCTAATGATGCTGTGGTTGCATCGTCATGATCGTCGCCTACGGGCTACTGAACCTAATAAAGAGGACTGATTGGGCACACATTGGCGTGCTACAGAGGACTTCTGTGTATGAGCGCACACAGAAGTAACTGAGAGATGCTTAGGCGAGTGTTCGAATGTTCGCATTGGTGGTGAGACATACAGCCGACCGCTAGAGGCTGTATGTGACACCTGCTCAAGCAGGCAATCTTAATGACGGGCCTTAAGGCTAGCGCCATTGCGAACTGGAAACACTCATAAAGGCATCGGAATGAGGACCGAGACCACTGGGTAGCGAGCAGATCGCGGTATGAAGGACCGCAACAATAACAATTCTGAGTTCGCGTAGTAACAAGACAATAACTACCTTCCAATGTCACTACGTTCTTCAACTATTTAGCTTGTGAATTTATACGTGAGTAGAAACTAATTTAGGCAATTGCAAACATGCACAGAAGGCATATATGATGTGCGGGGATATGGTTTACGAAAAACTGGCATCACGCTCATCTCGGAGTAACATCCATAACGCAATTTTGTTCTCGGCTTTGCCCCATCAATGCGTAAGTCGCTTATCCCATATGCCAGAAGAATATTCTTTTGCGTACAGCCTCAGTACCTTTTGGCAGAAGTGATGGCGAGGGGTGTAAGCCTGTCGAAAACAAATGAAGGCAAATCAATCTTTTGGAAACAGACATCCCTCAGACATTCTAGACTTCTTGAATGAAACGATAAGAACATTTTCGGTCAGTCTACAATAAAAAAGAACAGCCGGGAACAAATTACAATCAGCACCAGAGATGTGTGCACTTATGTAAGCACATATCTCAGAAAGTATTTCGGTCCTGGTGGCTAGAATTTCGGAGTTGCAATTCCACAGCAGCAAGGAGAAGTACACTCTAACTAAGGGGTGTTCCCTCAAACCTACTTAGAGCATTTAAGAAGCGAGAGAAGAAGTGCATGCTCCCGAACTTCTCGTCAACCCATAGATGAGCATCCGCTGCGCCAGCGGGACAGGAAAATCCTGGATCTGAGAAAAAATCGGTCAGACCTCACCAGAGAGGAATCATTTGCTATTACTGGTGAGAGCAATCGCATTCGATGCTGATAAACTTACAATTTAGAGCAGCCTTTTCGTCTCCTTGGAGAAACAGCTATCAATAGAATCGGAGTCACCTGCAAAACTTCGGTCAGTGCTTTCCACACAATGTCATTTCCCATTTTGAATGTTAAGAGCAGCTCCTATTATATCTCACCCGAAAAACAACCATCGACATCTGGCAGCGAAGACACGAGGCCGCGAAAAAAAACTGAGGAAAAATATCTCGACAAATACTTCCTTGTCCCAGGAAAAAGCTTCTTAAGCTTTTCCACCTAAGTCGCTGTAAATGTAGCGAGAACACTTCTACAGAAGGTGTCTGGCTCAAAGGATTCGCGTCTGGTCCTGTTATTTACTATACAGCCGCTGGTTCGACAACGGAGAGAAGAAGATGGAAGAAGAAGAAAGGACAGGACAAACTCGGTCCAACCCTCATGTAAAAGTATTCATTGGAATGTGATAAGTTGCATAGCAACCGCCACGACGGGGATGCGCATAAGTGTAATGGTTTCTCTTAGAAAAAACCGCAAAAACAAGGAAAAAAATGTTGTAGAAACAACTCCAATGGGCAAAGGAAGTCAATGTGGCCTTGCCAAGAAAAACCACTTTTTGCGAAATGTTTGAAGAAATGTGACCAGTGAGCAAGTATGTATACGACAAACGTGAAGAGCTGGTCATCCAAGAAATCGAGTCTACCTACGAGTAAGGGAGGTGTGGAATTATATATTACCAATCCTTTCGTTAATCATTCAGAGTGAAGGTCAACCGAGAGCTTGGGACATAGCAGTGGATGGGGCCTACGACTTGCCTGGACATACTGCCGCAATCTGCAAAGTACCGGCAGTAGACCTGAAAACAATTCTGTACGTGCACAACTTAGCCCCCCTTCTAATATCTACTATAAAGTCATTCTATAGGAGGTGTCAGCGGGAGAATGGAGAAGGAAGGATTTTATCGACTAATGCGCCGGTTCCATTTAAGGAATACCTCACTCAGTCCCGTCTTTACTTTATCTGTCGCGCGATGTACGGAAACGAAATACGCCAGTTTAATTCGGATTTTAACACCGATATCCAGTGGTATTTGGAGCCCTGGCATATAAACAAACGAATCCGCAACCATCTTCGACCGGTAACATTCTTTAGTTTTATTCAAAAAATGCTATTACAAAATAATTATTTTCAGGTTATCAGGCTGAGAAAGGACTGCAGAAACTTAAAGGATTGGATAAGCCCCCTCGAGGCACACTAATATCATGCTGTCAGTGAAGGGGTACAAACACAAAATGTTCAGCTTACAAGACACATAGTCAACACATACCTTTATCACCTGGACGCACCCATGAATGGAACCAGGTAAGGACACTAAGCTTTGAAAAATCAACACTGGAAAAGCTTTAGGGTCAATACTGGCCCAGTAACAAGGTGCGACCACTAAGAATGGCCACAAAGGCAAAAGCCGATTATCGCGCCCGGCCGTCAAGCCCATGAGAAGCTGAAAGCACTTGTAGCGCGAAAAGAGCCTCAAGAAGACCTCATTAGGATGAGTGCTTTTGGGGGGACTAGTCATATGAGAGATCGCATTAGATTGGGTTTACTACCCTAAGGAAATATACCTGTGAGAAAAAAGTCTTGGTCAGTACTATCACAGCAGAAATAAAATTGCTTTCAAGCCAATAATTACTTACCCGATCTATGTAATGCTTTCGACTCTCCACATGAATGAATGACGTCTAGAAGAGTGCGTGGAGAACGAATAGTGGAGCGTTCCATACGAATATCCGAAAATACAGCGACCGTGCAGGAGATCTTGATCGAGTACATGCCCCTAAGATCTGGTAGATCTGATCCGTCCACGTCTGACCAACTGTCCACATCTTGTCAGCCGTCTACATCTGCTCCACCATCCACGTCTGGCCAAGAATCTGTTGTGCCTTCATCTCGAGAAGCATCAGACGAGAACTAATTATCCACCAAAATTGCTGTACTGCATTTACCATTGCCTGCCTCCATGTACCCAACAATCCTTATGCCATGTGCGAAAGATGCGCGGCTCATTCCAAAATTATGATGATTCTATCCATCCTCCTACTTTCGTCATTCCCCCCTCCCCTCTAAAAGAATCACACGGAAACGTGCCTTGATAGCAATGAACATCCCAATCCTAACATACTCTAAGTAGATGAAAAGAATTACCCAACTCACCTTTTCACCAATGCTTTTTAGCACTGGTGAAAAGCACCAGCCACCACTGCACTTGTTTGATCCAGCAAGTGCAGTGGTGGCTGGTTTCTTCGCATCGGAAAACTGAAAACATAGCACTTAATGACATACCACGTAAGATAAAAGGCTGAAGTGATTACTCAGTAAGCGCATGAAAAACAAAAGCCTTGTCGAGTGTTTCCTGCATGTTTTGTGATGGAGATTAAGAATTATAAATTGGACGTGGATGTTTGCGAAGATGCGAAGAAGAAAAAAACGAAGCAAGCAAAGGTCAACCAAGCAGGAGATAGAGCTCCGGTTCAACCTCACGAGAATGAGAAAAAGATGCTATCATAGATAAAAGGTTAAAGGCAGTGTCCGGGCAAAAAGTCGATTTTGAGATTTTGTGCTTTCCCGGGCCTATTCACTATGCTGAATCCAAAAATCCACATTGGAAAACGCAAAAACGGCAAAGAAGGGCTTTAACGCAGGGGGAAATCAGAAGTGGGCGTGGTCTTTCCCACTGTGAATTACGCTGTCCCAGCTTCTGGAGAGATCTTCTCTATTCCGCTAGCGCCCTGTGATCTCCACAGGCCATGCGTATGCATGAGTTGAAATCGGAACCGAGAAGAACGCTCCGAAAGCTTGGAGCGTAAATCCACAGTGGGGAGGGGGGACCCCGCCCATTTCTGATTTCCCTCCGCGTTAGAGCCTTTTTTTCGCCGTTTTCACGCTTTCCAATGTAAATTTTCGGATTCAGCATAGCGAATAGGCCCGAGTAAGCACAAAATCTCAAAATCGACTTTTTGCCCGGACTGCTTTTAAGGAAATGTGCGAACCGCACAAGAAAGAAAGAGCGATAAAACGAAGGGGTGGACTGGCGGTCCGGGGACGATGAGGATGTCAAAGCGGCTTTTGTGCGGTCCTTTTGGGAGGAATCTCACTTCTTATAGGCACTGAGCAAGGCAAGATGCAGGCCAATGTTGCTTCATGATTGATACTAAAAGAGCACTTTTCTTGCCCATTTCTGACAACTTGCTTGATCTGACGCGTTGTGAGACGTTCATGACTGAAGCAATTAACTCACATCAAGCATATCATCCCATATTTCTCGAAATCTTTTAACAAAGAGATTTTATTCACACACGAATTAGAGCACACAAAAACAACAGGGATTGAGCGATGTAAGTAATAATGTATTTGCTTATCGGATTGGATCCTTGTTTGCAGTTGTAACTTACAAGGGAAGCTACCTAACTTAGCTCGACCTTTTGGCAAGGGACATACAGTGACCGCCAAAAAGTTGCGGACAAGCCGCCTTACTTTTTTCAATGCTCATGTTTGGATGGAAAACAAAGGTGAAAAAATGATTGGGTTGCATAAGGTGATAGAGCTCCTCAAGAGCTACAACCCACACATTGGCAGGCAATAATTCTTCAAACGCGAAAATTTTTCTTTAGGTCTTCGTTTGCAGCAAAAACAGAAGTTTTCTTACAGATAAGCATACTATATTATAGAGTTAATCGAGGACGATAATCAGGTAGTGGTTACTTCCAAAAAACCCAAGTTTGAATTTTATTTTGCTTTTTTTCAAAAAGTAACTTCTAATTTCCTTTATCAAGCCAAATTTCTTCACACGGAAACCTGTTCAAGACATCCCAACAAAGCCTTCTGGGTAAAATAGATGCTCTTTGCCATCTTCTATGCATCAAACGTGTGCTGATGAGAATCTTGGCTGAAAATGGCCCTTGGCAGTGCTTGCACATGACCCCACCTGCACCTCAAAACTGACTTGCACCGTTTTGCAGGCTTGTAGGTCGGCCAGCAGTCACTCTACGAGCCTGCAGGTAGGCTCATTCGAAAGAGCATGATTTCCTCGACGCGATGGTATGCAAAAGAGTTGAGTGTGGGGAGATTCGGAGATTTGACGGATGGAGTGAAAAAGCGCAGCCTTAAAGATGATTGGAGTGAAAGCTCTTATCAGCCTCAGAACAGTCTCAAAGCTTCGAAATGGATTTGTTACAAGAAAATTGACAGTTTTAAACCTCTGGAATGGAACTGGTAGCAAAAGGAGCTCTGTTCAACCTTAGCTGAAAAACCTTAACCTACCTGTGAGGCTGCGCTTTTTCATCTATCCGTCAAATCTCCGGATCTCCCCAAACTCAACTCTTTTGCATACCATCGTGTCGAGGAAATCATGCTCTTCCGAATGAGCCTACTTGCAGACTCGTAGAATGACTGCTGGCCGACCTACAAGCCTGCAAAATGGTGCAAGTCAGTGGTGAGGTGCAGACGAAACCATGTGCACGCACTGTCAAAGGCCATTTTCAGCAAGGAAACCCAGGAAACCCATCAGCACACGTCCGATGGAGGACGGCAAAGACCATCCATTTTATCTGAACAGCTTTGTTAGGATGTTTTGAATACGTTTTCACGTGAAGAAATTTGGCTTGAAAAAGGTAATTAGAAGTTACTTTTTGAAAAAAAGCAAAATAAAATTCAAACTTGGGTTTTTTGGAAGTAACCACTACCTGGTTATTGTCCTCGATTAACTCTATAATATAGTATGCTTATCTGTCAAGAAAACCTCTGTTTTTGCTGCAAACGAAGACCTAAAGAAAAATTTTCGCGTTCGAAGAATTATTGCCCGCCAATGTGTGGGTTGTAGCTCCTGAAGAGCTCTATCACGGGTGGCGACCAAGAGGGACGATAGCTGGTGGGTGTCAATATTTCGCGCATACTTTAGCGTCATTTTTGTCCATCTGCACCCAGAAATTGAGAGCATTTCCTTCTTTCATGCTTTCATCTAGACAGGAGAATCGTATAGATTGTGTTTGCTTGAAAATAGGGTGTGAAAATCAGCTAAAAATGTCAAAAAACCCTCACAAAGGTGAAACTTCTACTATTTTAAGCTTATTCCTGCAAAAACATCACCAATTTGCACATACCACCGGGATTTAAGCAAGACTTACCAAGTAAGTTGAGTAGGGCATTAATTTTATATCTACTGTTTTTTATAAGTTTGCAATTTGAGAACTGTGAAGGCAAATAGTGCATTGGCACCAGCGGCTGACACTATCGTTCCTCTTGCCCAATCATTTTTTCATCTTTGTTTTCCATCTGAAAATGAGCGATGGAAAAAGGAAGGCGGCTTATCCTCAACTTCTTGGCGGTGACCGTAGTCTGAATCACCTTCAGATGCTGATTCCAAAATGCTATTTCTAGCTGCCACGCGCCATTCCGAAGCGAGTTACGGGCTTTTTCCTGCGGAAAATTGGCATGCCCATCGAATCACGGGCAACACGTCATCATCATTTAAGCGCTGATACACTTGCATTGAGCTTTTTTTGTGAGAAAAGAATGGATTTGTATTATTTCGATATCCCAGCACCTTTTTCTTGCAGATTTTTTATCTACAGGCAGACTTTTCATATTCAGTAGCTTGCCAATTTTGCGTAGGAAAAAGCCCATAACTCGTCGGAATGGTGCGTGGCAGCTAGGAATAGCATATTTGGAATCAGCGTTTGAAGCTGATTCAGAATATATATGCCTTTTACCAAAAGGCCTAGCTAAGTTAGGTAGCTTTCCTTATTGGTACACACAAAATTCTAGAAGCTTTATTCAATCTAACTAATCGGTTTTCTCCAATGCTTATTAAGAAAGTCAACAATTGAATCGTAAATCGTAAATGTGATTGCAACATCGATGACAACTCGAGTCAGCCGGGGAACTGTTCCTTTGTAGAAACTGTAACGTAGCAGATAAGCATGACGAAGTGAGATTGTAAGTAGATCAGAATCTCACGCAAAGAATCCTTCGTGTTTCCATATTTGTATGGCGCAGTGCAATGAGTTTTTGTACTTACTCGCTTCTAATCCCTGCATTCTTGTTTTGACTACGTCGACGGGAGTGTTACCTTAATTTATGAATTTCACAAGTTTTTAGTTGTAATCTAAGTCTTTTTTAGATCATCATCAGTATTGATATTCAGTAAAATGCATTCATTTTTATCTTATTGATACAGTCAAGTTGCACACAGGGAAAATGGGTTTTAGATGACACAAGTTTTCAAATATGATATCCCCATCCCTTGCCTTCCCAGGACTTATGCGTAATCAATGTACAGTACAACACCGTCGCTGCCGCCTAATACCCGCATTTCTAACACATTTTTGCGCCGAAAATGTTGCATCAAATTTCTTTCATATTTATCCTATCAAATTCGCGTTTCTACAGTCGAGTAGATTTAGCGGTAAATATAGTGTGCTTGCACAGAAGGTGAAATGCGGTGAAATTTGAACAAGTAGCCACGTCAGTACCGCGGGTATCTTGCGCGCGCAATTGGCCGGCGTCACAGTCGAAACTGTTTCTTCACGCGCCAATTTTACCATTTCACCTTCTGTGCAAGCAAACTATATTTGCCGCTAAATCTACTCGACTGTACATATAAAATCAGCACTTATGGGGCATCTTTCTGGTAAAAAACCAAAAACTCAGTATTTTCAGATGCCGCATCGTTAACTTTTTACAAAATTTATCAATTCACCTTTCTGTCTCATACTTGAATGCAGCACTTCTCTCTTTCATACTTAGACGCAACGTGCTTGGATGGGAAGTTTAAGAAATGAAAAAGCAACTGCCACAGGCGCAATAAACACAATACTGCTTTGAAAGTGCGCATCGTTATTATCTATGAACTCATTTCAGCAGATTTTCATATAGATGGTTTTGGCGTCAGTGTTGTGTGTAAGTGTGTGTAACGTCAATGTGTAACGTATGCATGAAAAGTTTTCTTACTCCATTTTGTTCCCCCTTTCCCCACGGCAATCTCAAAATTTTTCTGTTACAGACGTTTCGAGCTGCTACCCTTTCCTCAAGACCAGTCTGTTACACAAAAATTTTCCAAAAAACGGTATAAAGTTTACTTAAAGAATTGATCTATCAATGAATTTTTGCTCGCTAAAGACAGTAAGGTTCATTTATAAAACCGTAACGACGGATTTGGCTATGGTCTTTGCGCTCACGGGAGCATAATGCCCTCATACAAAAAGGCATCACCTCAGCGCTCAGCTCAGTCACTACCATCGGCCAAGTACTATCAAAAACCAATCGAGTGGAGATTAAAACCAAAAAATGCGGTTGCCGGAAGGGGCGTGCGTGCGTGTTTATAGCTTGCCCACAGCGTCACGGCTGCAACTGCGTGTAACTGCGCAAAAGCGGCTACCTGTTGCAAAAGCTATAACGGCGCGATTTTGAGGCCCGTACATTAAACACGGATATGTGCTACGGATATTTGTTTCTCGTCTTCTAAAGTTTAGAGATAGAAATCCTCTGAATGCTCCGAATTATTGTCAAATGAATATACCTCAATTTTTTGAGGTGTTGAAGCTTGGTGATATTAGAAACAATCATGGAGTTTTCAGACAAGTTACAGTAAATGTCTGGGTTATCAGAGAAGTGATACTTTCGACAAACTTTCCAGACTGAGTCCTCAATCATCATCTAATTGTTATTGTTCCACAATCAACAAAAATTACTTGTTTTTTCATCTTGTTCCGAATATTAATTAAGCCAAAGCATTGAACTGTTCGATTCTACGTGGTGCAAAGTAGGATTCCCATTTTATAATCAAAACAAGTAACAACAAAAACAATCGTGGGTTACTCCTTAAAGGAAGTTTACTCTTATTTTCTTCCGAATATTGATTGAGCCGAAGCATTGAGCTAAAAAATCCTGGAGAGAACCGTAGAAATTCTTGATTTCAAAAGTGTAAAATCAGAACTGTCAAAAATCAATGTCGCTAAAGAGCTTCACTCTAATATAAGTAAAAACAGAAGCAAACATTAACGACTGATAGTAGGTCCAATCTTGTCAAATTATAATTGGCATTTTTTAAAACATTCTAGAATTTCATTCGTATCTACTGAGCTGTCGACATGAAGAGCAGAAGTTCTTTGCTAACCAAACAAAAAGTGTACTTTATTAAAGTAGACTTTTCCAGAAGTTCCTTTATTAGTATGTACGACTTTTTCGCAAGCGCCATTGATTCGATGGACTTTCGCCAAATTGGAAGAGTTCACTGATATTAAAAGTTTATATTGGTCTGAAAAATATCAACTTCCCACTAAATCATAGCCCATCAGAACACATTGCGACTGCTTGATCATGAGACAAATCAAGAATTATAATAATCATTTTACTGATTCACTCGAAAATGTGGTCAACTCACCATAGACGGAAACCAGACCGGCACATGCACCGAACATACCAGTAATAGGCTTGGGTACGATCACGTTATTGTCACCACCTCGATACCAGTCCTATGAAGGTGAGGACGAGATTATGCCAAAAGATAACATTCAACACACTTTCAATGTTTCCATAACAAAGAATCGCATAGCTTGATTTGAGCCTTGCTTTACCATTGTCGCCGTGACTCCTTTATAGATACCCTGCATAATGAAGCAGGTAAGTAGCTGGTAACGTAGCGATGGCTGAGATCACCCCAATTCCGTCATCTCTAATAATACAGCCAAGACCGTGAATAAATCCTTTGAACCGAGGTTTCTCAAGTGCTCGATCGTGAATAAATCTGACTTTGATTGTTTCCATTGGCGTAACAGCAAATACTGCTTCACATAAACCTGGAAGAAAAATTTATCACTGCTTCCAAAAAATAAATTTCAACTCGCCAGCCCCTAATCCGCAATATAACCGCTGGAATGGTCTTAAGTTCCCTCGTTCATCTTTGACTCTCCTCTTGAGGCACTCAAAGGTGCCGAACCTGCAGTCATACAATACCGCTCACATTTTTTGAAAAAAAAAAGACGCGAATGTATGGACATGTATGGACATGTCCATACATGTCCATACATTCGCGTCTTTTTTTTTTCAAAAAATGTGAGCGGTATTGTATATGAATGTAGGCGATATGAATTGCGATAGTCTCAGGGCTTAGGCCCGGGTATAATTCAGGCCTAAGGCAGAGTTTACGCGATTTCATCGTCTCGCAATCCTCCAAACAAGGCAACAGTTACGAGTCCATTGCATGCTGATTCTTGCGTCTCGATTGTGATAGTTATTCACAATTGGTCGCGTTGGAGAACTATCACAATCGCAATGCAAGATGATCGGCATGCAATAGACTCGTAACTATTTGTTTTGTTGGAAGAATCGCTGCGATAATCGCGTGAACTCTGTCCAAGGCCTTCAGCTGTCTCTTTCTGAAAGCGCTTGTATCTGTTTCCGAATGCTGAACATAAGTAAGCCCTTTTTCACTCACAAAAACGCTTTTTGGATTTTGAGGAGCAGATGTTGTATGAATTTTGAAGAGCACATCCTGGCATGATCGTCTACAATTCCATGATGTGCTCTCCGGAAACTATGTAACATTTTTGCTTTCCATCATATTACTCAATATGTTCAATATGTTAACCTGCTTCATTCCCCCAATGCAAGGTCTTCTGCTGTGTTGTTTAATTGTAGACTAAGTAGTAGTGAAAATTCTAGAAATTTTTTTTGTGCATAGTCAGAGTCGCATAGTCATATTTAGAAGGAAGTCTGCCTAGATAGCAGTAGCGTACCCAGGATTTCGGCTCGGGGGGGGGGGGCGACAAGAATTTTTTTCAGTGAAGGTGCGTGGCGTCAGCCACGCACTCCGAAAAATTTTTTGGGATGTTTCCCAAAATTTTTCCGGGCCCCTGCCAAAATTTCAGAAAAACATTGGTTGATATTATTTTGGAGAAAGCAGCTTAAAGGCACTGTCCACCCAAAGTGGAAGTTCACGAGATTCGATGGCATACTAATGTGGGCCCCACACTAGGCCAACCCCCTAGTTTCTCCGCAAAAGATTGCTTCCGAAGCGAGAAATCCGCTCCGGAAGGTACGTAATCCAGAGCTGGTCACTCCGCCCATTTTGCAGGTTTGGTGGGCTGCGGCGCTGATATACGCCGGACGTGTAACGCGCCGCAGCCTTGCGACCTGCACTTCCACCGGTCCCGCTTGTTCTCCGAACAGGGGTATTTGGGGTTTTCGGGGATTCTCGACTTCATATTCGAAATCAGGGCCTTCAGAAGGCCCAATAGCGACAAAAACATGGAAGTCGAGAATTTGGGTGGGGTGCCTTTAAGCCTAGACGTTGAAGGATCACAATTCCGTTATTCTGCCATTATTTCAATTCAAAACGCCCAACAGCGACCCAGCCTTTGATTTCCCATAGAGTTCATGAACTGGGTCAGTCATAGTAAACCTTCAGGAGAAATCTGCCTGGTCGAGTGGTGCATGGATGTGAGAGCACATAAGGTAGTTTGACGATAAGTTCAATTTGCGGAGGAAGTTCAGTTCAGGTTTGTTAAAAGAAGTTTCAACATTGAAGCTTTCAATGTTGAAACTTCTTTCAACATTGAAGCTCCTAATGCTCGCGCACATCCTCGCTTAGTGAGCAATCGCCTTGTCTGAGCTACTTCTTAACCTTCTATGTCGACGAAGAAACCTGACAGCGGGTCGCTAGAGGTGAACCTTGACTACCGTGACTTCGAAGAACTTACCTCCAGGCAGATTTAGGAATTGAACCGTATATCAATATTGATAAACCTCGATAAAGTCCATGCACGCCATGATTTTTTACAGTTTGCTTAACGCAGTCAAAAATACCCTAAAATAGGAGCAACGATGTAATTCGTTAGGCCAATCATCTATCTATGATCTATGACTTAATAATAACGGGCTAAGGGTTGTTTATGTCTGTTTGTCTGTGTGTCTGTGTGTACGTCTGTCTGTCACGAAATTCATACAGCGAGTTCCAGCAAATGTCTTGAGCTGAAGTTTTGGTCATAGCACCTTGTGACTTAATAATAACGGGCTAAGGGTTGTTTACGTCTGTTTGTCTGTGTGTCTGTGTGTACGTCTGTCTGTCACGAAATTCGTAGAGCGAGTTCCAGCCAACCTTCTGAGCCCAAATTTTGCACAGCGGATGCTGCCAACATGAGAGTTCAATATACAAATGCACGAGCGGATCCCTTGGGTGGATCCCTCGAAAAATGCGCGTGAATCGGATCCACTTGGCTTTTGGCCAGTCAAATTGATCCTGTAGCACAACTTTTTGCAAAGCCACTGATATGTTTGACAAGTTAATGTGCAAGCCATGGACTTAAGCCTAAATAAGTGAACTAAAGTTTATTACTTTGCGAAAACGGCGTCAAAAAGAATAGATTACGTGAATGGTTAATATGCTAAGATTTCACCCGATCATTTGAGAGGAATTTTGCACAGCGTTGTAGCCAACGGTGATTGTTGCACCTTATGGTGAACATCAAGCCATAAGAAGTTCAAAAACCAAATCAAATTTTCATTTGTTCTTCTGGGAAAAGTTTTATCCACGCGAAATTACCGACCTCATATGGAAAAGCGTTTGAAATGAGTGATGTTTACAAATCATTCGTGATAGCCTGCATAGCGCGGTGAGTTTCAATATCATTATTATGTGGGAATGAGTAAGACATACAGAAAGTAGGGCCAGTGCGGGCCTCTGCGAAGCAGAGGTGACGCACTGGTCACTCTATAAAGCACAAATCAAAATAAGTTTTCTAACCTTAAATTTTGGTTTCGCCGACCGTTCATCAAGTTGTAATTGTGTTTTAACATATTCTGTAGGGTATGTGATACAAATTTCAATACCTGAATATGTCTCTTTACAACGCTATTGTTCTAAGCGGCAAATCATATGTTTCATTCACAGCCGAAAAGTTCAACTTTATACTCATATCCAGACTGTACTCTATCCAAGCGGACCTAACAGCACAATGTAAACAAGGGTGTCGATCTTCAGCTAAGAAAAGTTACGGTATAAGCGCGATTTCAGTTTTGAAATTGATTTAGAGTTGAATTCATTGACCACGGATGATTTCTGTTAGGTCGAATGCCTTTTGCTGAGGTAGATTCCCCAGCTGAAAAATCAATTGAGAAATTTGGCCGAATTGTTTGGTCGACATACCTCCTGTGATACCGCCAATGATAGCTCCCCGCACTGTTGTTTCAGACGGTCCAAATCGTCTCCATAAAGAGAGCGCACCGCTAAATTCTCGATTTTACGACTGTCGTAGCAGTTGCTATATGAAAAATGCTCAGAAAATCAACTCCAAGTAGCCACACCAATTTTCAAATTGGTGCAACTATTAAACTAAGCATAATAGGAATATCGGGAAAAAGGATAGTCAAAAAGCTCACGGTGCCACAGGCTTGATGGGCTTCGCATCCGTTATCTTTTTAAGTGACTGAGTATTTTCTTTAGCAGGCTTTTCTTCAATCTTCCTGCAGTACAAGCTATCGCATCTGCAAACAAGCAACGCACAGTTCACGAACATTTTGACTTTTAAGAATTATAAAGCATAGGCGAGTAAATAAAGTCCATGAAAAGAATGAAACAAACCTTGCACTAGTCGCAAGATATAGGAACAAGTGATAAAACTTGTAGCGACTAGATAAACCGTATAAAGATATGTCATTTGAGTGAACGAGTCGAAAGGATAGGTATAGTACACAGAAAAGTTTGGTGTGTTTCAACAATAAAGCTCGTAACCGAAAGGCAAGTCGTTTGAGAAAACATGGTCATAGCATAGCAGCATTTACGCTCTCTGCTATTGAGAGATGCATACTGCTTTTACACAAGAATTTTTTAGAAACAACGTCATGGCATCAAAAATTTGTGTTCCTCCAACGTTATCTCTGTAAGCGAAGTGAAGATTTTGTATATCCCCTGAAGACTCTTTACCACCTTCAAAACTTCTTCATCTAAGGGCTACTTTCACTCTGTTTCAGAAAATCTTTCGGGTGTGGAAAGGGATGCCCCAATTTTCCTCACAAGAAAGACCGCGACATTGGCCGCGCATTCGAATTTTTTCATTTCTCCCAATAAGTGAGCAAACCTATGAAGATTTTTTCACAAAGCTTATCGATTTATTGAAAATTCATACTGATGTCTACTTACCTTCAAGCAAAAGCAACTCGCTTGTACAGTTTTACAATTCTGTAAAACACTTTAAACGCGATCCATGTAGGCGCGAAGAGCGGAGAAGAAAAAGTCCTCATCCTGCTATCCCGTCCTCCATTAGTAACAAGGTATTCTTTTGATATGCTGAATTTTTTTTTTGAGGGCGTTGGCAATATAACAACACTTCCACTATTTTTTTTTCGCCATAACCTGCTCTCATATACTAAGTTTCCTTGAGTTTAAAGCTTTCGTAACAGATGTAATCTACGCCACAACCCAGGCTTATACCATGGCCCAAGCTGCTTTCACACTAGAAGCTTTTCTAAAATAAATGTGACAATTATGGTCAGCTCACCATAGTTGTAATATTCGCGAAAATTTCACGACATTGATCTAGTCACTTTTTTTTTTGCAAAAAAGGTATTCCTTTTACGTACACAGACTAGTTTAATGGCAGCTTTGCTTACTTTTCGTGCATAAATGTGAAGCAACCGTTTCCATTGATTGCTATGTAGCTTTTTTCTGTGCAACCATCACATCCGTGATAGGAAGAATCTGTCTTGCGACAGAAACCAGAGTCTCGTGTTTTGTCTAATTTATACATGTAATATTCTTTTATCGCGGAAATAAGCTAAAGATGATATCAAAACTTTATGAGTTTGGTATTGAACGGGTGTTTTTTAGCTTTCGTTAAGATCTCCTTTACATTATCCGCATCCTCTTCATTTGTATCCTGCACACTGTTCTTCCGGCAAATAAACTTCTCAAGCACTGTCTTTCAAAATATGTTAAGCTGAAAGCTGTCACTATTGCGCGAAGGGCTAATTTTAAGCTAAATCAATAAAATTTGGAAAAATTGAAAGTGCTATGCCGTCGTGGATTCAATTTATGTATTCTGGCTTAACGATGATGATGTTGAAGCGCAAACAAATGAATGCAAGGTGTCAGTGAAAAAAGAATGCCTTTCATTGACGAGTCAAGCTAAACTTTTGCGCGGTAGCAAAAATATGTGCTTGGTAGATCATATAGTGGCATATCTGACGATTTCCGAAACAACTATGTTGCAAAGTCGCATAGGAATGACTGAACGACTAAAGGAAAAAGCTCAAATAGCCGAAAAGCGCAAAACTTGTAATTACCAAGCGGCTGCTTACATTGTCTCTATTGGGGCTTACTGATCACCATGCTCCGTGTTTATACGGTCGCACCCCTTTGCCAAGTTATGCCACTTTTCGGAACCCTACACCTTAAAAAGAAAAGCCACCGGACGGTTTTTATTTCAGCAGAAACAAAAAATCCATTGATTTAGTGGGATCTTCAACCCTCCAAAATCGGAAGAATCGCTTCCAAAAATACAGCTCGGAGGATCAAGTAATTTTATTGATATTTTGCAGAGCTTTTAGCGGTAGAAACCTTGAAATGGTTAAATAGATTAAGGTGCGGATAACTTCATACACTCTAATCAGATTTAAGACAAAAAGTGCGTCAAGTAACATCGACAAATCGTCAGCAACAAATGAATTTGCTTTCAGACTGTGAAAGCGCTTGAAAGAAGCAATTGATTCCCCTGAAATGAGGAGAAGGGGGGGGGAGTCCGGCTCCCGTAGCAGTGTGATAATAAGCCCCCTAGGGGTGGGGGACATTAGGTCGCCGAAAAAGGGCGGTCCCCGCGGTCATTTGCGACAAATACGTACCCTTGTACATGTGCGGACATGCGTTCCTGCAGGGAATCCGCGCGGGACTCTTCCAAGTTCGGCGACCTAATGTCCTCCACCCAGCCCCCTAGCCATCACTGAAATCCAGAGGAAAGCGGGGTTCGTGAGATAGACTTCGGTACAAAATCGTGCCGGATCCCACCTTAGCTCAAATATGTACCACCCATTCAGCGAATTCAAACCACACGTTAGAGCGCGATAGTGCATTTGTGATGGAAGGGTCCCACGATAACTCTGCGTCACTGACCTTGGCGTGCTCTGCTGTACACGTCCGAACCCAAAGAAGGCTTCAAAGTAAACCCGCTTCCTCTTCCGCTTCAATGCTACGTTTTTTGATGAGCGAGACTGCACCCAGATAAGAGAAAAATTATCCTGCCGGGCCGCTGCGTTTGAGAGTTTTCATTTGATTCAACTGGCTTGGCTTCGGCAAAGGCGGGACTTCGTGACCTAGTTAAAGGCAGTGTCCGGGCAAGAACTCGATTTTGAGATTTTGTGCTTACTTGGGCCTATTCGCTACGCTGAATCCGAAAATGCACATTGCAATGCTAGGTAATGATCAGAGAGCACTCGCGCGAGAGAGACGCAGGTGCGTCGCGGGTGCGAGCGGCCTCAATTAGATCACAAAACCCCGCCTCAACGGAGCCGAGCCAGTTGAACCAAAGGTTAGAAGCAGCGCAGGGACCATAACGTGGACGGTGAATCACGCAACAGCATGCCAACTTCGTCTTTGAACCAGACCTCGCTACCGTAATCGTCTTCCGCCGATTGAGGTAGCTCCCATGTGTCCAGGTTGCCTGAGAAAGCCTTTGAAAGGAGATGCTAGTTCCCATATGTGATTGGAAATTTGTAATTTTGTAGCAGGTAATTTGTTATAGCAAGCAAAAATTTGCTGACGGAGGATTTCTGTTGCCCTTTTAGTGTAGAGATCTGAATAATCCATGAGGTCCTCCTTCATTGCCCCATACACAGGACACAGTCAGGTTTACTCAGCGCATGATTCCGCAAATCCACAAATAGCCACAAGTTTACGAAAGTTCCGTAGACACTCAGAATTTTTTTCCAAATTTTGTAATGTATGAAGTCTACTATCTTTTCTATAATTTCTTTAATATTTATTTTGGCACTACCTCTTCTATGATAGCACTCTGGTTGCTTGCGTGTCAAAAACGAGAAATGGAATTATTTAAGAACCTTCAAAATCTAAATTTTTCTGTCATGCGGAGAAACTGCAAATATTTTTTGACAGTATTGAAGGCAGCGTCCACCCAAAATTTCGCCTCCCATTTCTTTTTGTCATTCTGGAGCCTTTCCGTGGCCCTGATCACAGTCATAAAGTACAAAGTGTCCATAACCCTTGAAAAACCCTATTCCTGGGGACCCTGCTTTGAGAGCGCGGACAAGTTTCGGATTGCTCATGCCCCTCGGCTTGTCAGTGCTGCATGAATGCACTGGCCCTGCACTCGTCCTCATGGGGAGGTTTGTAAACCAGAGGGGTTTGTGCTGCGTATCACAAGTCCAACTCAGTTTTCATTCTCCATTCTACGTCAACATTGTTTCGTATCGTTTGTGAGAAATTGCGATTAAGGGAACTTGAACAAACTTAAAATGACTGTCCATCTATGGCATGAGAAGGCGGGGCAACTTGGACAGTTCTTTTTCCAGCAGTCTTTTCTCGCGACTCAACTCTTTCATATGCTTCCCGAGCCTGCGAAACACCTGCCATCATGATTTAATATCTACAAGGTATCCAAAAAAATGTACACAATATTAAGTCGTTAATAACTCTGCTTCGTGATCTTTCGCCGAATTACAAATAATTCTCTGTAGAGGTTGCTCCAACTTAGATTCATAATATGAAGCGAATCTCCGGTCTCTGTATTACTGTGGGATTACGGTATGAACTTCCAGCATAAAGCGCCATTGTGAAATAGGCGGATTGAAATAAAAGTCCGAAAAAATCTGAAAATCTGTGCAACAGGGTTTTCGCGCATTCTAAATTCACTACACAACTGTAGAAGTTTTCTGAGGTTTTCAACGATGTACTTACATTTTCGAAGAACACTGAAAAAGCAGTTGTTACAGTTCACCTGGAATTACTTGCAAAGAATCATGACTGTAATGAGTAATCGTGTTTGAAATTGGCGACTTTCATTATCCTAGTATAAGAGTTCTTGGCGCATTTCTTTTCTGGGGTAAAACTTGACTCTTTATGGCTTAAAACGTCATCAAAGTTCCTGCCGTTACCCTACACCAATAGAGAGTGATCGGAGATTCGCTCTATACTGTACCAGCTGGCTTACCCGGCTCCGCCGTATGTTCCGAATAGAAAATTCATTTCTCAACCGATCCGGACCAAACTTGGCACACATACACTTCGGGCCCCGGCGGGTGTCACAGTCCAATTTTCGTTATCGATCGATGTCGATTTTATCGATTTTTTGCAAAATTTGAGCTACGGGGCTGGGAGTTGGCACAGGGGGGAGGGGTAATCGAGCATGCTGCCAGCCCCGTAGCTCAAATTTTGCAAAAAATCAATAAAATCGATATCGATCGATGACGAAAAGTAGCCCATGACCCTCGCCAGGCCCGAAGTGTCTGTGTACCAAGTTTGGTCCGGATCGGTTGAGAAATGGAATTTTCTATTCGGAACATACGTACAGACATATGTACATACAGACAAACAGAGATTCAGCTTTATATATAAGATATCTAAGTTGAAGCCAGTTCTACAGAATGCTACCTAATCGGCGACGCCATTGGATCAAGAGAGTTATTGACGTGTGCACTTTTTTGGGGAAACCCTGTACAGTATAGATGAGATCAAAACCTGATGTACTTTCATCAGTAATTGATTCTTCATTTCTCCAGCTCACCAAAATTGATGGAGAGGTTTTTGACCCCCAAAAAGCTTGCGCTAGCCTAACCCCTCTCTGTCAAAGTGAGCTACCGAGTCGAACTTATAAGCTTGGTTAGCCAAGGATCACTCCGAATACATATGAATAGAGAGACCTCAGTCACTGTTTCTCTTAGGCATTATTGAATATCGCTGTAGTTTGTAAATAAAAATCATCGCCTCTGCCAAAGTTCGCTGGAAGTCGCGTTGTATCACCATATTTTGCTTCAGAAGTAAACAGCTTCTGACTCCAAAAATGTCAAATCGCTACGGTTAGTTGTTGTGCTATGAACAAGCACTTTGAGTAGCCTACCTTTAGCACAAATCTAAAAACGATTCGTAAAATCTGATTTGTCCAAACAGGCACTTTCATGAAGCAGAGGATGCATCGCGTTGAGCTGAATTGAATGGTGTTTTTGGATTCAGAATTCGTCCACTCTAAAGCAAAATATGGCGATGCGACGCGAAGTTCGGCGAAGTCCGGGAATGGGGTGACTTTCTTCTCAAATAACGAGCGGTATCGTATGCTATGACTGTACAACCATAATTGTAATCTTTCATTAATGTATAGTTTGAGGATACCATAGGTATATTCTGACACGTTGTAAAGACGGTATAACTGAGGTAATATCATTACTCATACATTTCATAATTCTCGTAATTCTCTAACAAAGAGAAAATAGTTCAATTGCCACATTCCATACGAAGAGCACAAGGAATGCCTGACTCGTGATTAATAAGTGAAATTGGCCTTTGGACTTGAAACATTTCCTTGTATGCCGGTTATGACTTAGAAGATACATGCACAATTTCTAACAAGCTCTATGAAAGCTAATCAACTGGTTTTCTCCAGTACTTATTCAGGAAGTCAATAATGGAGTCGTAGATCATAAATGTGATTGCAACATCTATACAGACTCGAGTCAGCCGAGGAACGGTTCCTTTGTAGAAGCTGAAACGAACAAATGAGAGGATCTGCTATTCTGAATTAAGTGAAAATCCAAACTTACGCAAAAAATCCTTCGTGTTTCCATATTTGCATAGCACAATGCAACGAATTTTTATACTTGCTTGCTTCTAATCCCTGCATTCTTGTCTTGACTACGTCGACAGGAGTGTTACCTTGAAGGGTAAAGGGCACTTGAGAGTACACTTGCGTGAAAGACGTGATCTCGAAGTTTGAATTATTATCAAGTTCAAAACATTTTTCGTGTTCAAACTGCAAATGATGCTACAGTGCGCTTTAGCATACTATAAAATGGCTGTTCGATTTTATACAATGACGAATGGACATAGGGCGCAAAAACTTTCGCTTGGGATACTTTTTTGAAACTGAATAAGCTTTCCAAATGATACTTAATGTCAATCAAAAGAGCGAACCGCAATCCTTGTACTTTCACAGTATTCTAAGCCGGGTAGTTAACACAACTGTGGTTTTGAACTAGTAGTTTGGGTCAGTTCGCCCCAGATGCCCGCTGAAAACTTGACTTTTCTGGAATTATTTGATTTCCCCTGGAACTATAAAAATATACCTTGCTGTGTACTAGTCAAAAACTATCAAAGAGTTTTCTGGAATGATGTTTGGTAATTTAATGGTGCGCGGACAAAAACCCGTAATAAATTGAAACCTTCGCTTTAATTTTTTTTTACAACGAACACAGCTTTCCAAAAGGCTTTCAATTAATATACAGTAAACCGTACCTTCTTGCAGTTTGAAGTGTTGAAACTATGTAACTGAATAAGTCCAAGCTCTCAAAAAGAACTTTGCAAGATAGGCTATGATGAATTTACCATTCAGTTCAAACGAATCGCAAAGACAATCTAGCACAAAATATGTAACTCACCATATACAGAAACCAGACCAGCACACGCACCAAACATACCAACAATAGGTTTGGGTACGACAACGCTGTTGTCACCACCTCGATACCAGTCCTAAATTGTACAGTGAAGATCGAAATTACGAAGTGATGATGATCAACAGACTTTTAATGTTTCCATAACAAAAAATCGCATAGCTTGATTTGAGCCTTGTTTCAACATTGTTGCTGTGACACCTTTGTAGATTCCCTGAACAACGAAGAATACACAACAATCTAAAACTTTATCTGATCTTATTCACCCCAATTCCTTCGTCCTTTATAATACAACTAAGGCCATGAATAAACCCTCTAAATCGGGGTTTTTCAAGGGCTTGATCGTGGATAAATTTGACTTTGACTGTTTCCATAGGAGTGACAGCAAACACAGCTTCTGATAATCCTGAAAAAAGAAAGTTTGATAAGCAGCTTTTCCGTAGGTTAAGATTCGACTTGCCTGCTCCTAATCCGCAAAATAATCGCTGAAATGGGGTCAGGTTTCCTCGATCATCTTTCACCTTTCCTTTGAGGTACTCAAAGGTGCCGAACCTGCAATTACTACCTATATGCCGAGCCTATGGACCGGGCGAGGGATGATGCAACTAATTCTGAGTTTATATTATGAGATCATGGAAGTGATTTTCTGATCCTTAGATGGTTATATGCCATGAGATAAAAACGATCCTTGCAATAACGAACTCCAGGACCCGTGACGCACTTTTTTTTTTCAAAAAAATTTTTGGTCATAGGCCGGATTAACATCTGAGAGGCATCTCAAAATTTTTTGATAGTGAATAAATTATGCCATATCGTTCAACTGAAAGTTCAATAGCAACGAGGGGCTTGTTGCGAAAATCATCCTTATGAATCCACTGGTGAGCAAATGTTTGGTGGCTACAGTCCACTTTTATAGAAAGTCTTCGTTGATAATATCAAAAAAGGATTGAGAAAAGTTGGCAGCAAGCAAAGATTCAATGAACGGTGACAACCACACTGGTACGTCAAATCTTAAAATCAAAATTTGGTTATACTCTTATTCAACGCCACAAAACACAATCTTAAATTTTTTTTAAAAATTTTCTTCAGCAATCTTAAAAACTGAAGGGTCTCAGAACAGAAATGTTCAAAGTCTCAGAACACTATCAGCTTTTTCAAACAATCATCTGAACTTCCAGTTTAGACAAAAGCGAGGATACTCTATAAATTTACCAAGACCCATTGAATTTTCAAAAAGTACAGTAAGTAGTGAATTAAAAGTAAAAGTAGTCTCCACTGATTAAACATTTCTTCGTTTGTCTCAAGATAATTTATTCTTATTTCCTCACATTTTGTCAGTCTAAGCTCTTCAAAATGTCATTTACTCGAAATAAGGAGTACATTAACTTTTCAAATTCTACGATGAATACTTCCAATCAAAAACATACCTGAACGCAGATTTAGGAATGGAGCCGTATATCAATATTGATAAGCCTCGATAAAGCCCAAACACGCCATGTCCTTTAACGGTTTGCTTGACGCAGTCAAAAATACCCTGAAGAGCTATATAAAATAACGAGATCAACATAATTTATCAAGACCAAGGTTTAAATTATAAAACTATGAAAAAGTTTACCTTGAATTTTGGCTTTGCAGATCTTTCATCAAGTTGTAATTGTGTTTTAACATATTCGGTAGGGAACGTGATACATATTTCAATACCTAAACGAATCATTTGGACTACTGTAATATCACTACAGTAAATTTCTCGCCTACCTCCAGTAATACCGCCAATGACAGCTCCTCGAACTGTTGTTTCAGATGGCCCAAACCGCCTCCAAAGAGAAAGTGTACCACTGGAAAAATTTGTTCATTGAAAAGATTTTCATAATTCTGCCCAAGATTTATTTGATGAACATTTTTGAGTTTTTATTGCAAAACGATAGATTGTTATTGAAAGTTTTCTACAAAGAAAGAGATAGACAGTGCCGTAAACTAACGGAGCGACTGGCTTGACGGGCTTGACCTCCGTCATCGCTTTTCCAAGTAACTGGTAATTTCCTCCAACAGGGTGGCACCCTTTTCCTGCAATACAAACTGTGGTAACAGGAAACAGTTTTAGGAACTTTCGCAAGCACTTTATAGAAAGTAATAGATAGTGCAAACAAATGTAAACAGCTTAAGGCTATGAGATAAAACAAAATAAGACTTCCTGCAGAGAGTAAAAAGTGCTAAAATTTGCTCTGATGATAATGTACGATATATGAACTGACAATGGAACAGACTTGCATAGAATTGCCGAGAAAAGGGTGGAAATTGCTACAATTACCTATCTGATTACTTCTTGTTATAAAACCTCAAGGACTAGAAGTATGTGAATTCTTGCTGATAGCTTGAATGAAAAAAAGCAGTTTTGTTCTAATGAAATCGAAGCGTTATTAAATAGGTTTAGCAGCCAGAAGTCACATCAATAAGCAGAATAAAATATTATTATAGATGACCATGCAGAATAAAATATGTTTCCAAAAGTAGAGTTTGCTCACATGTCAGTGAAATAAGATTCGTAGATGCTTAGGGTTGAAAGGTCACATCTGCACATATTTCAATGCAATTTGATTCATTTCCAACCTTCATGCTTTGAGGATTTTTCAATAACTCACAAATCTGTAAAAATTTATTTTAATTCAGATTGACGTCTTAAAAATTTTTGGCGTAAGCTCATTATAAAGAATAGACATTAGAAATGGGGTACACTGAGACTGAACTTGTTGCAAGTTTAGGAGCACAACTTTTTGAAGCGGGTGCGCTATTTATGGTAGTAGATGGTGTCAACTCCGTATTTACGTATCCGTTCGTTAGCGCAATGTTTCCAACGAAAAGTAAACAAAACAAGACAAAGTGACGTGAAATTGCAGCCATTTGTTACTGCGCCAATCATTCTACTTTTGAATATACTGCATAAATTGTAAGCATTTTATAAAAGCGCATGAATTTCTAAAAGAAATATATTTAAACTATTCTAAAATCACTGTTGAATTTCACATGATGATAGTGTGGTAGCTTTTCTCTAGAAAATTGAATGAATCACTAAATGAACTAAGATAGTGAAAGAAATGACTGCACCTTTCTACTGCGAAGGAAGGACACTTCGGTTATCTCGAGAGTACATTCAAATATGGCTACCAGAGAGACTCTGACACTAACATTTAGCGCCAATAAATTGACGAGAGAAAGTACTAAACTCGTATCTCTCTTTGCTAGCAGGGCATCAAAATCTGCATAGGGAAAAATATGGTTTTTGCTTCCTATCAAAGCCCGAATGTACTACGGGAATGACGTTTGACAGGAAAAGCTAGCAGAAGAACAGAACAAAGGCCTTTCATAACTTAGCTTTACTGGATTCCTAGGCAACAACAATTTGAATATTTCTGATACCAACCCAGAATGCCACATGCCTGTGCTTTCCGGAGAATTTCATAGTGAGTATTCAAGAATACTACGATAAACCTAGATAAACGAAAAAAGATTTATATGAACTTGATACGCACATACTTAACCACCGATTTGACATTGCATTCCAAATGAGACTCCAATCCGGCGAAGAAAATATAATTCACGAGTTTCCAAAAAGATTTATCATGAAGCAGAGAGATCTGGATAAAATGAAATTGCGGCTTTGAATGTTTTTTGTCTTTATGAATCCCAGCATAATAATACTGAATCATAGGGGGAACGTGAAACTATCCAGTACTTTGATTTTCTAGCCGAAACTTGCACTTATTTTCACAAAAAAACAGTACTCCATGAGGGGAAGCAGCGATTTCATTTCGTAAAACAAGAATTTTGTCCATTACCATGTTCCAGAAGGCGAAGCCAAATGGTGATTAATTTCCTGCTAGTTGGAAATGCTCTCAAGTGCAAGCAAACGCTACAGCATTCATTGTATGCATGGTCTGAATGCAATTTTAGAAAGTTTTTAAGCAAAATTTGTATCTTCAAAATCTGTAGCATAGACGATATCAGTTTTGTACATATGATAAGAGGCACAAATACACATTCATTGTTTATTGCTTCTAGAACATTGCATTATAACGAAAACATCATAGCAATTGTTAGCTTAGATTCTCACTGTCCTAGCTCATAATCCATGGGAGAAAAACATTAAGAAACCTGTTTCAAACCTTGAGCAGGCTTTATTGGAAGCAGGTAATAAAGTGAATACTGAGTAGACAAACTTAAGAGAAGTGGGCGATAAAAAAATCATATATGTAAATGGTTTGAAGGGATTTTTTCATTATTTCATCATATTAGGCAGAAGTTTTGTGACATTTTTTCATTTCTCTTTAAACAAGGACTACTTATTGGCATCATTTCCCCTTTTAAAGATGTTAATATAGTAAATATGAAAGCCACTTCAGTCTCCAATTTTTATTGCCTAAAAATCCCCTATTTGAATTTTATACTCCGAAATCTTTTCAGGACTTTTGAGGACATCATTATTAATATGGAGGCAATTAGGAAGTCTGGGCTCTTCAATAACGCAACTTGGAGATTTGCCAAAAATTTTAAAAACATTAAAAATTCAAAACTTGGATTCTTCAAGTGTGGGTATACATTGAAAAACTACAACAATCCACTTGACCTGAAGAAGAAGAACAATTTTTCGAGAAAGTTATGAAGTTTCTACCAAGTGTAAAAAATTGTGTTACGATTCAATATAAGCCATATCTGCGCCACACATATGTTTAGAGCTAGCCCCCATTTTATCAAAAAAGTGACCCAGTCATAAGTTCGCAAGTCCAGGGTAATGCCACATTTCCAAAACCGGTTCAGACACCTTAGGACTCAGTCGATTTCGCGATAAAGTGACATAAAAAAGTGAAGGTTGTGATTGAAGACATGCAATTATTATTCAGACATACTGCAATGATGCTAATCAAAAACAGAGTAATTTGCACGCCAACTGTGAGAATATGGCAGAGATCTAAGTCAGCAAGCGGATTACGCAAGAATTTTGAACGTGGAGCCTCGTCCGTATGAATAATAAATTATGCTGAGAACGTAGGAGGTTAGCGAAGGGGCTGGAAATTTTGCGGACTAAAGAACAAGGATGAATGCTGTCCCATGGTATTGAAAGAGATACTTTGCATAAGATGGTACGTAGGAAATAGCAAACAAGAGCAGCAGTCATCCAGAGGTAAATTTGCAAATTAAAAAACTGATAGGAAGTTGCGATTTGGGTTCATAAGCTAGAGGGGAGAGATTACCTGGTAAAATTAAAAATATTACAAACAGAATTAACTTAAACTATTACGAGAGAAATTGACAAAAATAGAGTAATCAAGTAACCTCGATAAAATATAAAACTTCTTTAGAAGCTCGTAGTGGTCACAAAAAAAAAGAGAATTGCTGATGAAATCTACTAGATCATCGCAGAATGAAATGAATAAATGTAGAGCATTCGACTAAATTTTTACAAAAAAGTAATTTTCTCAGATTTTAAGCTTCTCCACCGTCAGACAAGTAGAGCATAGCGTAATTGCAAAAAAATACCTAAAAGATAGAATATTGAAAGAGGACAATGTCAAAGAGTTTCAATATTTTACTTTGTGGAAATCGACTTGAAGTCATGATACTAGGCTTCACTGACCACAGTTCAAGGGAGTGCTCGGAAAAATATGGAAAACGAATAGAAAGTGCAGGAACGGATTCGCATATCAGTAGAGAATAGAAATGCATGTAATTTATTATTATTTAGTATTATGGTTATTTAGGTAGGCAAAGTCTATGGGAGAAAATTCCAATCAAAGATCCTTTACTTTTGTCTTTTTGTTGAAAGTAATAGTTTTACAAGAAATAGTATGTAGTCAAAAGCTATTTAATATAAGAGCGCAACAATACCCAGCAAAAGATTACGTCAGCAAGAAATGAGATTTGACGAAGTCGCTGTGAAGACAAGCTTTCAACTCGATAATACTTAGAGCAGCTTGTTGGGCTTTTCAGCAACTTGGCCGATGTTGACTGAAATTAGACACGCCTCTACAAAGTTATGTCCGCTTCTGATCGAATACATTCGCGAAGGGCAAAGATTAGGTTCAGCTACCTTCAAAACTTTTCGCGCAAGATAGGAGGAAGTTTAGACGAAAGTTCAATTGCCAAGTAAAACCACTTTTTTTTGCAAAAAGATGACTTTAGTTTGACTTAGTTGTCATAAGTACTGGCAAAAAAAATAAAACTCGGTACGAAATTCCTAATAAATCCAAAAAATCCACAATTTCGATAAATTTTAACACACCTATTACAAAGGCTAGCCTTACCCAATTCAAGGAGTAGAAAAACATACGGAAATTACGGTGGAAGACAAAGAAAGCTGATAAATCAAACCTGAGTAGATTTCTCCCATTTCCTTGACATTTTAGAGACGGTAAAATCAAGTAAAAACTTTTTGCAACTTTTGCAGGTAATTTTGCCTATAGTAAAAGAGCCCGAAGTAACTTGCGTTTTTTGCCTGTATTAACTTTTTTACGTGTAGTAAAAGAGCAACGAAGCAACAACGAAGTGCCAACGAAGATGAAGAAAAAAAAGGTTTACGTTTGCTATTGAATCATCTTTATCTATATCTTCATCTATTACAATCGAGGTGCACCGAAAATAAGAAAGTGGGTAAAAGAAAAAAGATATAATAAGGAATTCGCTATGACTTCATACAGTACAATCACTGAGTTCAAAAAAACTGTTAACGGCAAATTTCTGCCTCCAACGAAAAAAGAATAATGCATATGGACATTTTCCTCTCGAAAAAAGCCGTTAGGAAGATGATTATTCGCGAACAAACAGCCAACTAGTATTGAAAATGCCACCATTTCGAAGACGGGCGTTAAAAAAAAGCCAGACAATGACTTGCAGAGGTTAACCAAAGGACTTAACTGCATCGCGATAAGGACGATAAGCGTGCCTGATCACCCCGAACCATCTCTCGCTCGATCGGCTGACGCCATAAAACACTCCACACTCGGATATTCTTTGACCTTACTTCGGTACAGAGCCGCTGCTGCGACCTTCGCCTTTCGTGCAACCTTGACTGGCA